TCGGGAGTTTCGCCACCATAGTCTTCCGCATCAAGAAATTCCATAGCCTCCAATCGTGGTTGATCCTAGTCAGTTCCGAGCAATGGAAGAAAAGGTTGACAAGATCTTCGAAATGATGCAGAACCTAGGATCTGCGGCACCGCCTAGCAAGACCATCCCCCCTTATGCACCGACACGCACGAAGGATGATCCTCATCTCGAGGACCCCAGAGCGTGCCGAGCAGACAAGGGCATAGCACGATCAGACCAAGAAAGCAAGATACAACAAGAAGGTCAGCCCCCTCCGCACGCTCTCATAGCAGGACGAATGCCACCTCACGTGGTTTCCGTCGCCGAGTCCAGCTTTGTGAAAGACCGCATCACATGCCCTAAGAAGGAAAGTGCAACACACACCGCGGCCCCGGACCGAAGGGATGATGAGATTCAGGAACTCCGACAGTGCTTAGAAGAGCTAGAGCATAGTCAGAGAAGCATGACGTCGGTTGTAGATCAGCCCGCACCACTGACCGTGCCCATGGCCAAGGAACCACCCTTCACTTAGGAAATTGTGGACAAGGTACCTCCCACAGGATGGTAGGCACCTAAGCTTGACAAGTATGATGGAAACACTGATCCTGCCGACCATATTGAGGCATTGAAGGCTTAGTTAATGTTACACGGATCCTCCGAGGGCTTGACGTGCAAAATCTTAGTAGCCACCCTTGCAGGTGCAGCCCTAACTTGGTATTCCTCCCTGCTTCCATGCTCAATAGTGTCATGGGAGCAGTTGGAAACCCAGTTTCGTGCTCAGTTCACAGCGAATCAAAAGCATTGGAAGACCTCAGCCAACCTCATGCAGGTACGAAGCTGCAACATCGATCAATTTTGTGTGCAAAGTATTGCATCATTTTGGATGCAAACATGCCTTGAAATTTGCAAAAGCTATCGCTTTCAATATATAAATGAGTTATTGTAAAACTAAATCATAGTATATATATGCGACATTTGCACTCTTCTTAATTGGAGCTTGAAGAGTGGGCCAACCTTACCTTGTATTTTTGTATGTATTTCTACAAATTCTCCCCATTTTTATTTTGAGTTCTAGTTAGGGTTACTCATGGTTCGGCTAATTGAACCATGGGTTATTTTTAAATTGAATTGGTACTACCATTTTTTGTAATTTTTTGAACCAAAACCAAACCAATATCATTGATTAACCGGTTGACTGGTTTTGATTTTTGATCGATTTGATTCTTCAATCTTCATTTTTTACATTTATAATATGTATATTATATATAATATTATATTATAAATAATAAATAACATATAATATACTATAAATGCTATAAATATACAAATATATTTACAATATACTATATTATATATATATATTCAAATTTTTATAGGTTAACCACAATTTTTTTTTATATTGACGGATTCTTCGGTTTTCCAAAAATACCGAATTGAAATCAAACCGATCGATTTGATTAACTTCATTTTTTCGGTTCGGTTTTCTCGATTCATTTGTTTTTTCTGTTTTGGGTGAATTATAAAGACCCATGTACTATGGGGTAGGGGTGTCCACGGTTTGGTTAACCGAACCGTGGCCCCTTTTTGTAAACCGAACTGGTAGTACTGGTTTTTTCATTTTGCCAAACCAAAACCGAACCGGTACCACCAGTTAACCGGTCTGTCGGTTTTGGTTTTTGATCGGTTTGGTTCTTCAATTTTTCGGTTTTTTATATTTGTAATATATATTATATAAATATATGTATAATATTATATTATAAATATTTTAAAAATATATAATATATTTGTAAATAGATGATTATAAATATAATATAAGTATATATTTATATATAATGAATATATACTTATATAAAATACATAGAAAATATATGACATATATTAAAAATATTTATAAAATATACATATAAATATATATACTGGTCGGTTCGGTTAACTGTGAATTTTTTTATAGGTTAATTGAAAATTGAACCGATTCTTCGTTTTCTTCAAAAATTTCGAACCGAAACCAAATTGACCAGTTCTGTTAACCGCATTTTGCGGTTCAATTTTCTCGATTCAGTTCGGTTTTTCATGGACACCCCTACTATGGGGTCGATGACAAAGAGCCCCCTATACTTTAATTTGCTACAAAGACACTCTTGAACTTTAGCCGTCCCCTCCCATTTAGCCTTCAACCTTTCGTAAGTTATTTTAAAAAATGATTTTTATTCAGATAGTTTATTTTTTTTTAAATTACCCTTTTCTAATTTATTTGAACGGTGAGAAGATATCTTGAGCAAAACACCATGGATATGGATGACTACGCTAAAACGTAAACGGAGAAAGCAAGTAACTAAGAATCTGAAGAGAGGACAAGACATCAGACGAGCCGACGAGGAGCTTGCCAAGTTCTTCATCATTTGCGATCGTAACGACCACCATTTGCAATTGTAACTAAACCCAACAAGTTGCTAAGTTCTTCATCGTTACTCACTACCAACCGAATATGCCTCGGCACAATCCTTTTCTTCTTATTTTCTATTGCTGAGTTTCTAGCTAATTAGTATATTTATTCAATCCTTCAAACAAAATTATGGTGAAAACCGGAGGGAGGGAATTGTGTAGGAAAAATCGAACCTCGGCTGCAAGATATTCTAGAACAGAAGTGAGATGCACAAGAGCACCAATACCGACTCTCTCTGTACTTGTAGGCTTTCGGAAACCTAGTGATCCTACCAACCAAAAATTGTAGACCAGCCTAGCTGCTTCTCGGTGTTGCCTTCTTCGACGTTCCAGCTCCAAGAGACTTTCCTCGTTCGACTATATTGAATTTTCAGGAAAGAGTTCCAGGTCAAGGGAAGAAAGAAAGAATTGCACAAGTTGGGTTCATCGGATTTCATCTGAAACGAAAGTCTGACAACACAAACACGAAGCGGAGATCAAAGGTATACTAACCCAAATCAGAAATCGGTGGAGGATTAGTTCATGCTCTGTGACGATTTTGTATTTTTCTAGCAAAGTATCTTGGGTTTTTTCTGAAACACCATTCTCAGATAATCAATTCAAAAGTAAAAGAAAATCGAAGAAAAAATAACAGGGAGAAAAGAAGAAATTGAGGAGATTAGAGGATTTTGTACCTTCCCTGGCGTGAGTCTTCTTGAGTTCAGAGTTAGTGTGTTTCTCTGAACCTTCTACTATCTTTCATTTCTTCATCCAATTTGAAGCAAGGACAGTATCAAGACAAAAAGACTCGAGAACAGTATCACTTTTCCTTACCATATAATGAGAATAATGTCCTGAAGGAGAGGTTAATTAGTGTTCCAAACTGGTTCAGCACAGAGCCATTGAAATTTGGGTGGTGCTCCCGTTCTATCAACCAAACAACAAGTCCATTGTTAAACCCACATGAGCGTCATGAATGGCTTCATGAACAACCAAGCTCTCTTTTGTCTATCTGGTTTTTCAAAAACCCATTTGAACGCCCAAATCGGCATAGGGGTGTAAGAAATCTCCATATTTACAACGACTGGCCACGATGGCTGTATCAGCAACTACTGCATCGAAGGTCTTGGTTCATAGTAAGAAATGGATATCAATGGTTTTCTCACATGGAGCTCAATTTGTTGAACCATGGGGTCAAAGGTGCCATTATAGGGAATGAACAGGTGTGGCAATGAATAATTCAGATGCTCTAGAACAACATAGAACACTTTGATGGTGAACCTATCATCACAAAGGTTGCCCCCTAAAAAAATTAATAGTCACAAAGTCACTAAATGCGGTTTGTTTACAAGCCTAGGATAACCCCCATGGGAGTTGTTTCTTAAGTTCCGAAAAGAAATTGAGGGCAATCGTGTTCGTCTCAATCCAGAGGCACTCTATTGCCCAAAAACACAGAAGCCGGTTCTCATTGCTGGAGGTTTTTCTTTTTTCGGCGACGATTACTAGTGACAAAAACAGATTTCTCACCGTCAGAGAGTTCTCACTAAAGAAAATTAGATTTTTTTCCTTTTTGGTCATTTAGGTTTTAAGAGAAAATAACAAGAAAAGAAAATAGAGAAAGTTTAGTGGGGTATTTTGATAATTTAATAGCTTCCGTATCAAGGGGTATTTGTTGCAATGTAAAAGTTCAAGAGGTCTTTGTTGCAAATTAAAGTACAAGAGGTCTTTGTCACTAATAGACCTATTCATGGGCTGGGTAGCCTGACGGTCCGGCCCTCGGACGGGCTTGAACATGATTTTTAGTCTGCGGGTTTGACCTCGGGCCTAAAAGCCCAACCCGGCCCGACTTTTTATAGTTTTTAAACCCTAAATCCCTAACTCGACTAACCCTTTCCCAGTTTCCCTCTTCTCATCGTTCTATTTCTCATTCTCACTCTCAGAGTCTACTGTTCTCACTCTCACCGGTGCCACTAGCGAACTAGGTCCTCTCTCTCTCTCCTTATCTTCCTCTCTCTCTCTTTGTCTCTGGTGGTGACCACTACTCTCTCCCATCTCATCCATGAAATGTTGAGAGCCTTTTGGAGTTAGCATCTTTGTTGGTTCACCAATATCAGAATCACGCCCAAGCTCCATAATTTCTCCTCCAATAAGACCATGAAGGCTGCACCGGCGAACTCAAGCACCGATGCCACCAAAAAATCAATCATTTTATTAGGTTGGGCTTTTTATGAGGGCCAAGCTCGGGCCCAAGTTGTAGGTCCATTGGTTGGGCTGGGCTCGAACTTAGGCCTGAAAAAATTTTATTAATAAAGAATAAAAGTCCGGCCTAACCCGGCCCATGAACAGGTCTAATCACTAACCCCATGCTACTTTGTAATTTACCCTTCTTATTATTTACGAGAGATATTCTCAATACACGGTAGAATGTGCCTATTAGGTCTCGTGAGGCGCCCTTTGTGATGAGCAGATCCCAATTCTACCATCACTGTCCATACATCTAGGCCCCATGAAGCCTCGTGAACGGTGATGACAATGGCAGTGCACCGTATGCCTGTATGGAAAGATTGTTCTAGTTCGGTTGGTGCATAGTGCAGATTGCATAGCTAATCTCACTCTTACATAACATGCCGAGGAGATAGGAACCAATGTATCTGTAGCAGAGGAAACAGAAAAAACAGAAAATGTCTGCACTAGGAATAGATACAATGCTTCTTTTGCCTTCATTGAAGCTCTTATACCCAGCTCCTCGTAAAGAACATGGCTTCTTGCCTCCTTGTTTCTCTTCTCCTAAACCTTCTTCTTCTTGCTCTTGTTCTTCTCTCAAGGCCGTATTTTCAGTTTCGTGCCGGAAAACCCAATACTTTAGACCGTCGTCCGTTTGTTTGGTCCGAAGAGTGAGAGCAAAGGCTTCCGAAGGACAGAGTTCGAGCCTAGAGGAGGAGAAGGAAGAGGCGGAAGAGCCGGAATTTCAAGTTGTTTCGGCTGTCAGAAGCAACTATAACGAAATTGTTATCGTTGACACCCCTGATTCCAGGGTTTTGCTCCTCGACTCTACTCGTAAACTCCCACTCTTTTCCTTTCGGTTCAGCTCAACTGTTCACCACTTCTTTGATGCTTCTTCACACACATATAGATATAATTAATTTACAGTTCCGCAAGTTCTAAATTAATTTTGCACCTTGCTGCAGACAACGTCCACAGCATTTTTAGAAAGGGACAAAAGTGGACTGGGTCATATTGGGTACTATTCTTCTTTTCATTTTATTTTATAATGAAAAAGTTACAAGTGAATGCAGTTCATATATGGTGTTAGTATTCACTATTTGTGAAATGATCTGTCATGAGGAGACAAGATGGTTTTTCTAGCATTGAACAATGCTACACAAATGAGAAGAGTTGAACCCTCCAGGACTGACCTCAATGGTTTTAACCAGGGGAAGTGATGCTTAGAATTTTCTATTTGGTTAACCTGAGATGCTGGACGTGGATGTTTGCCTAACAAGAATAGGAAAAAAATTGCTTAGAATTTTCTATTTGGTCAGGGCTTCAAATATCTTGTAGTCAGAAAGGAAAAAAAAATGCTTCTGTCCTAATATGATATTATCTGTCCTCCGGCTCTCTATTTTGTTGTCCTTGTAAGTAATATCTATTTTCAGAATGATCTATCAAGGTAGTCCGTATGGTAAGATGGAGTTTGGACAAGCTTCTAATCAACAATTCAACATATATTGATGGAGTTGCATCATCAAAATGAAAAAGAAAAAAAGGAAAAAAAAGAGACAGCACAAAAAAAAAGAGGAACATTTTATGATCAACTCTCTTTATCAGATGGACAAAATCACAGGGATCAGCTCCGTCACACAATGTTTCAGCTGTTTGGTTTCTGATGGTTTTGCATCCCATACAAAAAAAGTAGTAATAACAATAAAATAAAATAAAAGTATATCCTTAGCCCTAGTTGTTGAATTACTTCATCCCTGTCTAATCTGAAAGCAAATAACTAGATCCAGCTTACCTACCTTTTCCCATCTTGATTGGAGGGTATTGAGTGACTATGCATCAAAACCACAGATAGAAAGGAAATTAGATACTCAAATGAGTTAATGGAGCCTATCCTTGAGCACCTGTATTGGACCAGTAGGGAGCAATGACATTAAAGAAAGGATTAAACATCCCCTCTCATAAAAAGTACAAGTCAGAAATTAGACTGATAAAACATGAGTAGTTCTGAAGCAGACAATTTTGGGCAGACATGGGATGCCAGTGCCAAAAAATGTCTTACACTATTCTATGACTTAGGAGTTAGGAGTAATAAGGACTACTTCGGACAACTTATTAAAGAAAAATAACGTGCACACACATTTCTGTCCTGTTCTTAATGAGACAAACTACTAAATAGAGATTTCTTAATACAAACATAGATTAACTCAGATTTAAAAACACTCAAATTAGAATGAACTCTTGGTCTATTATCATGGTTTACAGTGTCTTAACATTCTATTAAGGATCTATAGAAAAAAAAAAAAAAAACTGATATCAGGTATAGAAGCATCACGCCCTAGAGGAGGTAAAGCTACAGTTATTTCAGCATCTAGTAACCCTAGATGAGTCATGTTCTGATCATTTGATGGCTGGCTTTACTACTAATTTTTTCACACAATTAATTGATTATTAGAAAAATAAATTAGAAGCACTTGCAAGGAAATAGTGGCTATTTTATTGTTGTTCTGCAATTATTTGACAACACAAAATAAAGTCATGATTGGAGGACTTTTATTGAAATCTAGGGGCCATTACTTGGTGTAATGGTAAAAATCTTGGGCTGTCAAGCATGAGAATGTGGGTTCAAGTCTGAGAGCAGCCACTTTATGCAAAAATAAATGCCAAAGGTTAGGACCATATCAGGTCCACCCTTGCCAAGACCCCAAATATCTGGGACCAACATTGGATAATGACCTCTTTATACCATTATTGACAGCTATAACATGATCATAGAAAATTAAGAGCATAGATAGATCCTTAAAACCTCAGTACCTTCATCTCTACACTTCTTTTTGTTTTCTGGGGAAACTGTAGATTATATTGACTGAAGTTATCCATATAATATGCTTGAACAACAAAATTGTTTCTTCAATATTCCTTGAAACCTATCTTGAGATCCCTGTATTTTCTTCCTTTTAGTAATTTTTTTTACTTGCTAATTTCTATAAAAAAACAAAATCTTAAGATTGATAATTTTCATATGTTACTGATAAAAAAATTCACTGTTACTTTTTTGTACATTAATTTATTTGCAATTAATATTTTTTTTGCTATTACTGATTAAAGCAAACAAAAATAATAATAATTTGCATACACATTATGAATTTAAGAAATGAGTTTTTTGGGTGATTGGTAGTTGATCAGAATTTATTGCTGGAATATAAAGAGTAGACATGCATGGGAAAGGTCGAAAGGATATCATTTCCTAGATGAGAAAAGAGAAAAAGAGAAAAAGAGAAAAAGAGAAAGCCAGCCCTATGCTGCTCTTCCATCACCATCATGCCCAAATCAATATGTTCCTCACTAAACAGAGGGATTTCATCCCCACTTCAATTCCTTTTTCATTCATTCCCCTTCGAAAAAAAATCAGTTTTTCTTCAAGTGAGTTATGCCTTTTTCAGGATAAAAAATGAGGAGATTGTCAGGTAATAAATTATCATATCTGGCTCATTAGCTATAAGAAACCCATTTCATGTGAAGGTAAATTAGTATTTACCGTATTTTATCATTGCATAACTTTTAGAAAACAAAGAGGGTGAGAAGAGAAATAATTGATTAAAGAGAGGCAAGGAGGTTAGTAGTTGGTATAATGAATGGAAAAATTAAGAAACAATCAAAGAGTACCATATCTGGCTTGATAGCTATAGGAAACTTGTCTCTTTTAACTTGTTATGTGTACCGGTGTTCTGATTTTTTATTAATAAAATTCTTATCTGTTTATTGTTTTATTTGTAATTTGTTTACTGATTCATTATTAATAATATTATCTGATTTACTAATAAAAAGGATCTATGTTCACTCTGCATGTGGTGTTCTGCTTACTGCTTTGCTCAGTTATATGGACTGTTTAGTTGAAGATACTGCAAATTAATCATCTCCTTTTCTAGCCTTTCTGAATCTAATTCTTTCTACAGGATGAGTTTGCAAGTCTGCCAGCTATTGTTCCACACGGTCCTATTGCAATCTTAGGTTTGGTAATTTGCTTGTTTTAAGTATTATTTGGTCCTTTTTCTAGTTAACTCTTTGACTTCTTTTAAATGCTAAGGAGTAAAGGTTGTCTTCTTGAGGATTTAATGTCATAAATTTATGGATGTTTAGGGTGGTGGAACTGCAGCCCATTTGATGCTTGAGTTGTGGCCTTCTTTGAAGCTTGAAGGATGGGAGATTGATGCAATTGTAAAGAAATAATTTATCTTTTATTCTATTTTTTTCTTATTCTTGGATCTGCAAAGTTAAGTTATTTCATTATACTTTCTATTTTATCAATCAAAGCACCTGGTCTCTGTAGATTTCATCTGTGCAAGTATTGAGGCTGTTTAAATAATGTTTCCAAGAAACTGGGGAGATGATTATTTTGCTTTAGTTTCTTATGGTAGATCATTTAGAGAAGAAGAGGAGCAAGAGAAAAGAACAAAAAAGAGAAAAGGTTTGAGAGGCAAAAAATGAGTGGCAGTGCCCACTCTTCAGGTTCCTGGGCCACCCTCAGGCCTAGAAATTTGAGGGCTGGGCCCGGGCCCAACACCTTAGGACCGGCTTGGGCCCAGTCCAGCCTGCAATGCATGCTATATGTCTACATATTTATTATATATTCTATATTATAATATATTGATAATATCATGATTGGAAATAATGTCTTGTCCAAATATTTTAATCTTTAAATTTATTCATTGATTTCAGACATAATTAAATGTCTTATCAACTTTTTTTCAGTTATGGTGGTTCAAATTTTTTAATATTTATATTTAATCACTTGGGTAAGACATTTAAAAATTTATAACAAAAAAAAATCAAAATCTGAAATAGAATCACACATTTAATATAGGCTTGGAATAACACCCGGCCTGGTCTGGCCCATGATAACCCCTATCTTAAATCATAAAAAGACAAGATATAATACTCCATAATCCTGTGTTTGCAAAATACACTTGCTTATATTTTTTACTTTAGTGATTTGAAGCTTTGGTCAAAAGTACTTGTGCCACATAAATGCAAGAAATAAAGCAAAATAAAATAAATTTCAGCTGAAAGATTCTTTCTTTGTTGATGCAACTAGTCCTATTATTTTTACTATGCATAAAAGCTTTCATCCAAAATTGGCACTAGGATGTTTTGTCACTGTATGAATTGAAGTACAGCCATGAGTGAAGTGCTGAGGTTAGATGGTATGATTTGTCTCTTTTCTTTACATACTGCACAAAATCTTTGGCCCATTTTTCTTTTTCTCAACATTTTGTATGTACATAGTACACAATGTAATTCTTATGGTTCATCATCATATGTGTTCCATTCAACCCTTTTAGTTATTATGTTTCTCGAGATTGAGTGTACAACTGCTTTTCATTCTTATGCAAGGATTTCTCCTTGATAAATTAATTGATTGGCCTGCTATAATGTAGTTGATTGATAAAGCAAGAGAATATCTTGGACTGTCTGATCTGGAGAAGTGTACTGAAGCCGGTGGTGTTCTCCATGTTCATGTTGGTGATGCCCTTTCTCCATTAGCTGTTGTTCCGGGAGGATTTGCTGGTAATGGTTCTGAATTCTAGCAACTTCTTAATTTTCTTAATTCTCTAACATGGTCATTTACCAAGTAACATAATTTTTACTTCCAAATATCATTTTTGTCATTGGTGTATATTGAGATGTCTTTTAATTGATCTGCACCTACTGTAATGGTATTTACTTTTGCTTGCATCATTCAGGCATTGTCGTGGACTTGTTTTCTGATGGAAAGGTTTTGCCACAGTTGCAAGAGGTATAACTAATATTTTTGTTCAAAACATGCTTGGGCAGTTAAATAAAATCATGTTTTACCTTTGATATCTCACTTAAATAAAATGTTAGAAATAAACTTATGGGTTAAATTCATAAAGGTTTTCCCAGATATTTAGGAATTGTATATTTTTTTCAAACATTCTAGAACTAGAATACTTGAACAATGTCCCTTTTACAATTGGAGATGACATCGTGATCTGTTCAGGGTTTTGGATTACCCCTTTGTTGTTTATCCTCTGTTCTTTTTGAACACTTTGTTGCTTATGCGATCAATATTTGGAATAATGCATCTTTTTAACATGGAATGGTTGAAGAAAATGACCTAAAGGGGGTTGGGTGTATATCCCAAGCAGGAAAAAGATAAATAGATGTAGGACATAGAAGGCTTCTTATTTATTGCCTTTTTCTCAACCATGTTAAACTTTTCCGATGTCAGCAAATGGAAGTTAATCTCTATTGCAAACTTAGGTCCTTTGTGGCCCCTTTCACCCCATATGTTTTTCCTTTATATTGTTGATAACGAGAACATCTACGACCTATTAATTTCCTGTATCTGTGCTTCTAGGATTTGAGAAGACTTTTTCTTTTTTCTTTTTTAAATTTGTTTGGAGTGAGATGGAGGCCTCCACAGAACATAACAACATTCTTTGATTCTTCATGGTTCTCTCATCTTATGGGGAAGATTATGTGGTGGTCCTTGAAAGTAGTGATTCTTTGGTTGATTTAGAAGGAAATGAATGTCAGGATCTTCTCTAATAAGAGAAAGAATGCAATCATTATTGATTTCATCACTGCTAAGAGTGGCTATTTGGTACACACCAAAGAGGAGTTTCATGACTTCTCCACTAATGACATTATGAGAGTTTCTCTATGGCTCCTCTATTGCTAGAGATATTCAACTTCATGTATGGCTCCCCTCTCCCATGGAGATATCAAATTAAACTTTGATGGCTGTTTGGTAGGTAACTTAGTTACATCAGGTATTAAAGGAGTTTTAAGGAGCCATGTGAAGGAGATCCTTAAATATTTTGGGTTTGTAGATTGTGATGGTTCCATTCAAGCCAAGGTTTTGCCTTTTCTATGAAGGCTTTGTCTTACTCTTACCTATTACTTTCACTTATCAAGAGCAAAGGTAGAGTCTAATTCTTAGACGATGGTCCTTGAGCTCTTATACATTGCACTGTAGAGGCTAGATCACTAGAAGCCAAAGGGAACATCCCCTTCTGCTGGTTCAGATCTCACTAGCTGGCACCCTAGCTAGAGAAGGGGCAGCTAGGAGTGAGTGGTATTAACAATCTACCTTACCAAAGTAGGGAGCTTTTTCTTCTTCTTGAATGTATTGGGGGACTGTAGAACCACAACCTTATGGGATTTGCTCCTCCTGGTTCTTTTGTATTTCGATTTTTTTGACTTTCCGCAATTTCTCTTTTCATTAAAACTTTCTTGTCACCATTATTGATAAAAAGAACCTTGGGTAATAAGAAAGTGGACTTCTACTGATGTAGTAGTTCTATCATGGTGAAAGTTAGACCTGTTCATGGGCTGGGTAGCTTGACGCATTGACGGGCTGGCCCGGTCTGACCTGACCCATTCTAAGTCAGTCTTGGACGTGAATTAAGGCCTGTGGGCTTGGGCTCAGGCCCAAAACACCAGGCCTAACTTTTTTTGGACCAGGCTTGGGCTTTCTCAAAAAATCCCAGCTTGAGTCTGGGCCTAACCTGATAATATACATTATTTTTGGGTTTTGAGGTCTTTTAGTATAAATAAATCAGTTTTTTATTGAGTAAAAAAGAAAAGTCTTTTTTTTCCAATTTTCTAGTTGGGATTTGGGCTCAGGCCCAGGCTTTGGGCTTTATATCAGGGCTTGACTTGGGCTCGGGCTCGGGCCTGAATGTGTACTGTTAATATATAGATAAAGCCCAGCCTGGCCCATGAACATGTCTAATGAAAGTTAGCTATGCTGAAAGGTTTGCCAATTGTGCACTGTTTATTAAGTGTAAAGGAAAATCCATTACTGTATTGATACTGAATATTGATGACATTGTAATAAGAGGGAGTCGTCCTATTAAACTCATTGATGAAAGCAATTTTTGGCCTTAGAGTTTGAAATCAAAGACCTTGGAACTCTTGGGGGACTTCCTTGGCATCAAAGACCTTGATTCTAATTGCAGCCTCGCAAGTGTCTGACCTCCAAGACTGGTCCACATGAAGCAGCAACAAACAGAAATTCTCCATGTAGATCATGATCTAGGAGAGAAAGACTTGGAGGAGGGTTGGGTGACTCTAAGATTGTTCTAGCAATTTATTTTAGGGTTAGGGTTTGGCAGATAATGTGATAATTTAATCCTAAGGCCGCCCCTTGCTTATCTTATATAGCTTGTGCTCCTTTTCTAATTAGGAGAGGATTTATCTAATAAATTCCCCTAATTATAATTAGGTCTTAATGTTAACAATTAGGTCCCTCCACTAAGACCCCTCTTAGTCAGCACACCCTCCTCCATACTTTGTTTTTATTTTGCCTCTTAATGTGTGTGGCCTAGGTTCAATGCCATTAGGCGGTGGCAAATGATGTAGAATTCTTTCAACATCCCAGATGGATCTCCTTTTAGCTTAATTGAACTAAAACTCTTTTAATTTTCCCTTGAATGTGAATAATTAACCATTATTCATAGGGGTTCCACAAACCATTAGTGACAATGAGCTGTATGTCATGGCTACCCTAACAGTTTGAACCTTTCCACCTCTAGTTACCATATACTCAAATCCTTCTGTCATACACTGTCCAGAGAGAGCAAAGGGTCATGAAGAATAAGTCAGACCCTACTGGCTCAATCATATGTTTCACTGAATTGATGATGACTCATATGGTGACACTTAGAACTCTTTCCATATACTATACTGCCTTGCCAAGGCATTCCTAAGCCTCACCAATTTCAGTCGCATAAGACATTCTCTCTCTCTCTCTCTCTCTCTCTCCTCATGGAGAGTGATAGATTCCTTGTTTTCACATGCCTCTATGCATAAAGCACTACAGCCGACATATGCATACTTAAATCCCTTGGTTAGGGCATAAGGATCTGCATTATCAAACTGTAATGCCTCATACATAAGATATCCATTATGCCTTAGGTCTGAGGATTATCTATATGATTGAGATGATAGGAACAACTATTGATTAACGATTCCATGAAACTGTTCTATTATGGGTCATGTTTAGTGAACCTGTTCTCTAACAGGCACCCACATATTTGCTTTAGTGTCTCTACACAAGTGACTTGGGATTCTTTACTAGGGGTGTCAACGGTGTTCGAAAATCTGATTTCGAATTTGAGATTCGACATAATCGAATTAAATTTGGTTAATTTGAATATCATAAACCGGTCGAATTCGGATATCCTATTCATACCTTTTAAGTAATCAAATCGAATTTGATTCACATATTTATATATAAAATATTTAAATATTGTATGTGATTTATATATATATAATATTTAATTATATAAATAATTTACATATTTATATACTTTATATAAATAATATATTTATTTTGTATGTTTAGTAATTACCTAAAATAATTAATCAGTCAAATTCAAATCAAATCAAATATTCAAATATTTAATTGAATTCGAATTCAAACATTAATTTTCAATATCCATCGAATATCGAATTTTCTAATTGGTTTTGAATTTGGATATTGTTTGATTTGATTTGAATTTGATCTGTTTACACCCCTATTCATTACCCCATAAGGCAAGCTAATATGTGCTAGTCTATCTAGACTATCAAAGCCTTCTTGATAGTCCTATGACTAGGAACTATTTTAGGATCTTTGTACCAAGAGAAATATATCTCAAATTTCTAACACACTTAGGAATATGTTTACTTGACAAAGAAGCTATGGACTATTCATGTAAACATAGGGTGGTAAGCATGAATGAAAAATGCCCAAAAGTAATTAAATGTAATATAAATAGTACAAGATTGCCCTTTACAGTGTCACATGATTATTGGTTTTAGGGAACACAACTAACAATTGTTAGTATATGCATGGTCATCAAATTCCTTGTCTAGAAGAAGTTGATAAGATTTTGAGATAATTGAAGTTCTCCCTAGGAAAAAAAGGCTATTATTTTCAAATTATGGTCATCCTTAGTATGGAAGCTTACATTAATGCAAATTGGGTAGGTTCATTGGATGATATAAGGCCCACCACTAGATACTTTACACTTGCCAAAGGTCTTCTTGTAACATGGAGAAAAAAGTCTATCACTGCTTGGTCTAGTCCCGAAACTTGGTCCAGAGTTATTACTTATGGTGTATCTAAGTAGCTTTAGTTGAGAACTCTTTTTGGAGAATTAGGTGTAGGGACTGAAACTCCTAAGAATCTATACTTTGAAAATAAGATAGCTATGAACGTTTTTTATATTAATGTTCAACCAAACTAAGCACATTGAAGTTGACAAGCATTTCATTAGAGAGAAAATACCTTCTTAAGATGTATTACCATTTTCTAAGACTGGAAATCAACCTTCTGATTTCTTAATTAAAGGGGTTGTAAAAGCCAAGCCAGACAAGTTTTTGAGCAAGTTGATTATAATTTACATCTATATTCAACTTGAGGAGTGTAGTTGGTACATAGTGGTATATAGACATAAAATAGAGGGAATTTTTGTAATTTAACTGTCCTTTTTACTTTCAATTTAAATATTGATGCATAGGGTCAATAGGCTGTTCTTTTTAGTTGATAAAATTTAAGGAATATTAGATCTTTTTTGTTGACATTGCAAAACCAACTTTAATTTATTAACTAAATATTTATATACAAAGATTTTCTCCTGCTTCTTATGCAAGAATACAAGGTTTTAGCACTCCATCTCTAGCATGTTAATAAGCTTGACATTGAATGTATTATCCTTGTTAAAAATGCTTGAGTAATATGGTGTTTAAGAGCACGATTCTCGTTTTTTAGCCCTTTTCTCTTGTTTCTAATCAGATCCTTTATGTATGTATTTGTTTCTGTAGTTTTCATATGATTTGTAATATTTTATTTCATCTTTTACAATAGGTTGAAACATGGTTGGAAATGAAAAATAAATTGCTACCTCATGGCCGCATAATGGTGAACTGTGCTGGGGTGCATTCTGATACATACAGTAATGGATATGGGATAACCTATCCAAATCTTTCATCAACAGGTAGTGCATGGGCAGAAAATTCTACTATCAAGGCACTGTACAAAGCATTTCCTGGGATGGTATGTCATTGGCTATCAAATTCCAATACCTATTCTTGTGTGATGCCTTTCTTCACCCTTTTGTAGAAAATATTGGGGTTGAAAGAAACAAGTTCTGCTGAGATCTCCCTGATATATGATCTTGCAACTTACTAATTCCTGAGAAAGCGAAATCAACATCTTTAATCTGTTATCAGCATGAAAAAAAGGACTTAAACCATTGAAATGGGAGACTAACCAAACTGGTTGTCCCCAACTTTTGAGTCTCCATGACATCTCAAGTCTTGCATTAGAACCATGGTTCTCACTCCATTAACTCCTTTTTTTACTTATTGGTTTGGTTCTCTTGATGGTTGTCAAAATCTTATCATTTATGATATTGATTCAATATTTGAATCATGAATCCCAAAGGGCTTTGGTTTGAATCTTACATCTCAATCCTTTTCTGAGAGTTCTTATGATTATTTTTTGAATCTTATGAGTCAATTCATAAATCTTGCAATTTATTTGATTTATGTCATTTGAATCAATTCAATTAGAATTTAGGGATTTCTTCAGCCTGGAGGACAACTTGCTGGTTTCAAGGGCTTTCTTTCTGGTAATGAAGGATAACTTGATCAAGGAGAATAGAAGTTTCAGGAGAAATAAAAATGGAGAATCAGATTTAATGATGTGGACAGTTCAGTGGTTGAGTCCACCAGAACTTCAATATATTTATATCACATTCAAATAAGATAAGTTACATTGTGTTTTGATTAGTTACAATGAGATAATGAATGATACATGTTATTTAACAACTGGAGAGAAAGAATAGGAGATAACCATGTGATGACAATGATAGAGATGTGATCACAGTGAGAGTTGTAACTGATTCATTCTCTAATGTGCCCCCTCAAGTGAAATGGTCTAGAATGGACCTGAAGCTTGGATTGAAGTTTAGTAAATCTTGAAGATGAAAAGGGCTTAGTGAGAACATCTGCAATTTGATCAGTTGAAGTAGTGTGTTGAACCTGGCGCTTCTGTTTGAAAATGAGACTATGTAGAAAATGAAAATAAACTTCTATGTGTTTTGTAAAGATAGATAGATAGACAAGGTGTGCTGCTGAATAAGTAGCGCTAATATTATCACACCATGCAATTGGTGGATAGGTAGAAGAAAACCCAAGATTTGTCAATAGTGATTGAATCCAAAGAAGCTCAGTAATAGATTAGCAAGGGTCCCGAATTCAGCCTCAATGATGGACCTAGAAATTGTAGGTTGCTTTTGGGAACTCCAAGCAATAAGATTAGTCCCCAAGAACACACAATAGCCTCCTGTAGAATGCAGGTAATCTGGGAACCCAGCCCAACCAGCATCAGAAAAGGCACTTAGTCGTCTGGAAGAAGATTTAAACTACATCCCCATATTAAGAGTGGACTTGAGATACCTTAGGATTCTCTTTACATCCATCCAATAGTCTATTATAGAAGCATGGGAAATTCCAGACTGTTGACAAAGTAAGAAATATCAAGTTGGGTGACTTACCATGCTCCAGTACTCGGTGGCATCTGAAAGAGGCTTGCCAACATGTTTTGAGAGTTGAGAAAACATTGCCATAGGTGTGGAGACAGGCTTCACTCCATCAAGTTTAGTTCACTGAAGAAGTTCGTGAATGTAATGCGGTTGAGAGAGAAGAAATCCAGCATCAGTAGAGAGCTTCAATGACTAGAAAATAATGTAGTTCCCTATATCTTTCAGTATAAAGGTATGGGGGAGACACTGAATCAATGAAGTAATGACAGAAGAACTTGTTCTTGTCACCAATATGTCATCGACATAAATTAACATGAAAATAGGAATGCTGTCCAATGTAGAATGAACAAGGAGGGATCTGCTGTAGAGCACCTGAAACCAGGCTCAGTTAACATGGAGCTTAGGCGTGAGAACCAGGTCCTAAGAGCCTGATGCATCCCATATAACACTACATAGCTTACAAACAAGGGTCGGACAAGAGGGATCTTCAAATCCCTTAGGTTGGTGAACATAGATGTCTTCATTTACATCACCATGCAAAAATGTATTGTTGATATCTCCCTTAGGTTGGTGACCATAGATGTCTTCATTTACATAACCATGCAAAAATGTGTTGTTGATATCCAACTGATGGGTCGCCCAACCATGAGAGACAGCCAATGCAATCATAGTTCTCATTGTAACTGGTTTAACAACTGGCTGAAAGTTTTTGAGAAATCAGTCCTGGCAACTTGATAAAATCCTTGAGTGACAAGGTTTGCCTTCTAACCCTCAATAAATCCATCATATTTTCTTTTAACCTTATTAACACCCATTTAATTCCAATTACATTCATTCTAGGATCATAAGGGGCAAGACTCTACGTACAATTCTTAATAAGAGCATTAAACTCATGAGACATGGTTTCATGCCAATGAAGACTCTGGGCTGCTTTAGAATAGCATGATGGCTCCACTTCATCAAAATTGATATCCACCAATAGAGCACCAGTTACGAGATACTTTGTCCCAAGATTTTTTTTTTTTTGGTAGAAAAGTCTCAAGATAAGGTTTCAATAGAGGGTACCAAGCACATCCAAATACCCTCAAGAAAGAATACTCTGGTGGCTTGAGAAAAAGTCTCATAGGGAGATAGTCCACCAAGAGCAAGGAGATGGCAGTCTATTAATCAAGAATGCGGCTGTCTATGCTGCATAAGCCTAGAAGGAGAAAGGGAGTGATGACGAGACTAGTAGAGATAGCATGGATTCAATATCTTGCCTGTGCCTGTGTTCCATAGAACCTTTTTGTTCATGGGTGTGTGGACAAGTCAGTCTGTTATTCCTTGAGAGCCCAAGTAGTGTGAGTGTGTGAAACTCACCACCACAATCTAATTGAAAACTCTTAATCTTCTTAGAAAATAACAATTCAACATGTTGTTTTAATCTCATGAAAGTATCAATTACTTCAGATTTCATTGCAATTGGATAAGTCCAAGAGAATTTAGAGTAATCATCAATAACTAGAACATAATAATAAAATCCGTTATTTTATAATACTGGGCTGGACCCCAAACATCAGAGTATGTCAAATCTAATGCTCTCAGAACATGAAGAAGAAGAGTGAAGATGTAATCTATGACTCTTCTCCATTTGACAAGCTTGACTCGTGACACCAGAAAATGGCAAACCAAATTTAGACACAACTTGCTTGACTACTATGAGAGCAGCATGACCAAGCCTTTGATGCCGCCCTGAGATGGTTGTAAGTTCACCAAGGAAATCCACAACTTCTTAATTGCTCTGAATTTGAGCACTATGAGGAAACAGATACAGGCCATATCTACTAGGTCCTTTTAGAAGAATTCTCCCCTTGTAATCCTTTAACATAAAGGAATCTCAATGAAATTCCAAAAATCAATCATTTTGGCTGACTATAGCAAGTTTTTGGTGATATGTGGGACATGATAAACATTTTTCAATTGAAAACCATGATGATTAGAATGTAAAATAGAAGAGCCAATGCTCTTTATAACCAAGCCTGCACTATTGCTGACATTCACTTCATCTGACCCTGAATAATCAACTCAAAACTGAAGATTATCAATATCAGGTGTAAAATGGTGAGTTGCCCCTGAATCAGGATATCAAGATGGATCAAAATCTGTACTTGTCCCACTGTGATAGGCTTCTGCATCATAGTTGGGTTTCTATTCACCCTGATATGCAAGATCATATCTCCTATGACACTTGAAGGGCTCAATGATCAGGTTTCTATAGACATGGCACAAAATAGAGGATTCCCTGTGTCACGTCCATCATTGGACCTTTGGTTCTGATTGGAATCAAAGGACTGACCTCTTCTCCTTCCAGTGACAACTACAATTGGTATTAGTATATCCACAACCACCATTGTTTTGTGGACTCCAGTTTTTAGCTTTGGGTTTATCACTAGTCAAGTTGGCTGCAGGAGTGCTATCGACTAGTTTGGCACGCTGTTCAAGCCATGCTTCGTGGCTGAGCAACTACCCAAGAATCTGAGCAACTATTTATATTCACAACCCAGTTTGGACAACAACATCATGAGGATGTCCTGTCATGCAAAAGCAGGCTTGTCCTTGCTATTTCAGTGCATTGGTTTTGGCATGTGAAGAAATGGAAAATGGGAAGATATCTGAAGTAAGGGAAGCTGGGGTAATTTTCAAATGGGTAAGGAGGTCAGCCAACTCTGTGGATGATGTTTTGGGAAAGCGGGGGGCCTTCAGGGAGAACATTTTTTGGGATGTATTGTAACTTTCTAACTTAATTGGGGTCAATACTCATTTTCTGAGTGGTTGACAACGTATGATTAATTACTATTTTTAATGAAAGTCACGTTTCCAATAAAAAAAGATATCTGAAGTAAAAGAGGGCTTCAAACAGAGGAAATGCAAGTTAAAGTAAAACGTCTTGAGCTTTGAAAAACACCACTAAACAATTTCTCTAGGTTTAAGATGTTGAAGTGGAAAACATCCAAAGAATGAAAAACCTGAAATTCACCCTTGGTTCAGGGAAGAGCACAAAAAGTACTCAGAATGACTGCAGTAAAGCTGAAATCCATCCTAAACTCTGGTTCTTTAACCATTCTAATGGCTCTGATAATCCATTAGTGCATTTTGACAATTTCTACTAACATAAAAAATACCCTAAACTGCCACAAAAAATTATGAAAGAAAAACTAAATTTTATCACTGAAGCAACTCTATAAATAAATTAAGATGATCATACTGATCTGTTAGATCCAAATTTGGGACATCAACTACTTGTAAGAACCCTAGTATGACATTGTAATTACCATCACAAATATGAAAAATGCAAGAATGCATCCATTTGTGGTGATAGTCAATACTCTTAAGGAACTGTTCAACCTAAAAGCTTAAGCTATTAGGTGAGGTCCCCGAATGGGTTTTTATTCTCTAATAAATACTGTTATACAGATCTTGGCTATTCATGCTCGAGCAATATATATGGTTGTGCCCATTTCTTAATAGTTTAGTATTTTAAAATTCATCTCTTACTGATATCAGTTCCACCCTTGTCCTGCATATGGCAATTCTTATTTGTATCATTGGTTTGGAGGTTGCCTTGAATATGATGAAAGCTAATGCCCTTAAATCTGATTTGTTACAGTTAAGCTGGAAGAGAATGGCAGAAGCAGAAGGTGAAAATTATCTTGCACTTACGGGACCTTTTCCAGACTTGGATGCATGGTCTTCTGCTGTCCCAGGCTCATTAAGTTTGAATGTGAAAAAATGGAGACCTTGTGGCATGCTTTCATGAAATTTGGTTAGCTGTCATGTTATTCATCTTCTTTGTCATGCAAATTTTTAAGATCTCATAGAAAATTTCAATTGGACTTGGTGCTTGCAGCGTCCCCTGACAAAGTTGGTGGAAAAAAATGAGAGAACCAAAACTAGAATTAGGTGAAACTCATAATAGGCTAGCTAGGGCCAAGCCCAACTATATTTATGCAGCTACTGATACTTGGATTCCATCTGCTACACCTCACCGAGCAATCTGAGTGGAGAATATGGGACAAGTAAATGGATTGCAGAGTTTATAGAACCACAACCAAGAACTAGAACATATAGGATGGACCTTGTAAGGAGATGGTTTGACTTGGAAAAAGCTTTTGCAAATCTAGCATTAATGTTGTAGACTTGTAGTAGGTAATTTAGGCATACAAATGCCTTGCTAATAACAATCCAAGATAAATGGAATGTTCTTTTTTTTTCATTTATTTTCAAGAACAAGTTTTTCATATTATAATGTTAAAAGATAAGTTTGCAAGGGTTGTAATCAAGGTTCAAAGTATCGAAATAAACTGGTAGGGTGTATCAGCCTGTATCGGTACTTTTTTATGTTTTATTTATTTTTTATGTTTAAGTCCTGGCTACCCTCTGAACCATGGTCTGATCCGATACAACCCCTGTAGGGGGGAAAAACTTTAGCTGTAGGGGTGTATCAGGAAGCCATCGACACAATACGTATTGGCCGATACGGGCCGATACGTGTTGATACTTTGAACCTTGGTTGTAAACTTCTAATATTTCTTTTTATCTTATTTATTAAAGAAGGCTTGTAATTCATATTAACAGTGTAAGAGAATTCAGTGTTGAGCATCCTTCTTTATGATCAATATTATTTATGGAAACTACGTTACTGCAACATGAAACAAAAAAATTGAACTAGTGATAAATTAGGTATCATTTTTAATGAGATTGGTAAGTATATTTTGTGAAAGGTGAACAAATGAAAAATAGACCATATGACGGTTTTTAACACGATTGATTACTTTTTGATTTACTGTGTACTTATTTTACCATAATTGGACTTGCTATTTATGCTTACACTCAACTATTATTTATTTATTTATTTTTAATTTATGATATGGATAGATGCACTTGTAACTTGTTGGCCAAAGCAAATGCTTTTTTTTTTCTTTTTTTTTGAGTTTTCAACTTTTCATTTTACTTTTTATTTTCCCCTTTTAGGGTGATTCAAAGAACATGATTAAATTGACTTCAATACAATTTGGTTGCCAAGACAGAAGAGCATCCTTTTATTGGATTTTATTTTACAGCAAAACAATCACACTTAAGCACTTTGACGTTTCAAATCACAATACTACAACATGCTTGTGAGTTGTGGTTCTTGTGGCTTTGAGTGCTCTGGTTGCCACAAAAAGGGTGCATCCGCATTCTCATCATTGCAGTACAGGCAAGGGTGCTGCTTGAAGTCTTGTTCCCTCAAAACAGCTCTCGCCATGGTCACCAGTTCTCTGTTACTAAGTTTGGTCTCGTGCTCCTTCAGCACCATCTGAACAGCGTTACTAAATGCTCCATACGCCTTGTCTCCGTCGTCAGTCGGATTCATGTCCGCAGATGTCTCGTTCGCCTGGCAGCCGCTAAGAAGAATGCCTGCATCTGGGTGCAAAGACCCTACCAGACTGCTCTGAAGCTTTTGCAAGCGGAACTTGATACTTGCATCGCCACCGAAGACTTGGCACAGGTGGGTCCCAATGTCTAGTGAGTTGATGCCGGTGAGTGAAGTCAGGTGTTGCAGGATTGAATCCAAAGGGATGATCTTGGGGCGGTGGGCTGGCGGTGCGCCGCTGGCAACAGAAGGCCCGATTTGCTCTTTCTCCTTGTCGATGAGGCCGCCGCTGTGGCAGGAGTCTGAGATGATGGTGAAGCTTGCTCCCTTCGGCAAGCGATTCACAAGGTGTCGGAAATCGACATCTGTTGAGGAGTTGCAGTCAGTCATGTTTGTTACGTTAGCTGCAGATTTCTGCAGAAGTTAGCTGCAGATCTCGGGTTGACCAGATACCTGGTCCTATATCCATATTTGGAGGATTTAGGTTATTAAAATGGCCCAAAGTCGATGCAGTTGGATATCAATGAATCATGTCCAGATCCAATCGGTATTTCCAGATTTTTTTGCTGGTTGTTAGGGAAATCAGTGGGTCGGATCAAGTGAAACCCACACTGACCCGACACTACCGGGTTTTGGGTTGAGGAAATCCATGCTGCGCTAAATGGTTGGTCCAGGTCGATATTTGCTCAGCATTTAGTTGGTTCATGTCGGGTTCGGGTTGATGGCGCTTCCAGTTTGGGTTGATTCAAACACATGCCAAATCCGACCATTGACATATCTAGTAGAATTCTAGGGTCTAAGTAGTCAATGACCTGACACAAGACTAGAATATTCATTTCAACCATCCTGGATCTGGGACTACTCGCCAGATCTGGCCGGGCCCAAAACATTTTGATTTTGGACCTGGGCCCAGATTTAGATGGATCAGTTCCAACTTCAAACCCAACCCGTTACATGCCCTACTCTTCCGCTCTTCCCTAATAGCCACAGTGAATGGTACTAATTAGTAATGTACCCTTGTTCCTTTATCAACTTTGACAGTCTTCAATCTGACCCGCTTAACCCGACTCGTTAAGTTTGCATAAAAATATATATGTAGGGGCGTTCATTATGGTGACCAAAAGACTATATTTGTTATTGTTGTTTGGGCTTTCAATTGGATTAAACCCAATAGAATAGTCCGAATCATATTACAAACTGCACCAGATTAAGAATGGTAACGGGGAGCCTCTCTCCATCCTGTTCCCACGAAAATCCCCGTTCCTGTTCTTGTCCCCACTAACGGGGATAAGGTTATCCCCATCTCAGTTTCTATGGGGATCCCCATTTTCTGTGATTTTTTATAATGTTAGTTATTTTGTTTTTGTTTTATATTTTATTTTAAAAAAATAAAAATAAAATAAGTAAAATTTACAATCCTATTAGAATGTATTTAAATATATTCAATCATATTTTTAAAAATATTAATATATAGAAATATATGTAGTTATATATGCATATAACCTATGTATATATAATATTATTAGTGGGGATCCCACGGGGTGGGGAGTGCTCTCTCCATCCCTGCTAATGGAGATGAAAATTTTTCATTCCTGTTCCCGCATGAAAGAGGAGGGGGAAAAATGAGAAAAATTGCCATTTCTGCACCAGATCGTAATAAAATGCTTTGATTTTATTTTCATATAAAAAATGTGTGATCTAATCCAATAAATTATCAGATCGTATTTTACTGGTTCGGTATGATATCTTTAAGACCGTACCCAACCAGACGTGAACACCCCTAAATATATGTGCATGTTTGAATCCAAAGGCACCGACTGCTCTGTGAACCGATTCGCACTCGAGGTTCTGCCAAGTGCCAACCTGCTTTGCTTTTCCATGATCCTTTTTTCTAACCCAAACCCATTTCAAATTTGGGTCTGACATTTTCCCATTTGGATTAACTCAAACATAACCTAATCCACAAGACTCATTTTCCACTCCACACCACCTCCATAACTTGCCACGTGTGCTTATAAAAATTGATTATTTCAGTTGGATTGTGCTTCAAGAAACGTTTGACGTGCAAGCAAGGCTGTATGTGTAATGGTGTGTATAGTGTATATACATAAAAGCCTGAAAATTAGTTTCAAGATCGCGTCGCAATCTGCAGTTCTGTTGCCTTCATTATCAATTCTTTATGACCTATAAACCCGGTTTGGATGGACCATGCAGTGTGGATGAACCAGTAAGTTGGCTTGGGTTTACTTGTGAGTTCCAAAAGCAAATCAGAACTATTTTCTTTGAAAACAAATTGATTCTTAGAAAAAACATGTTCTTGATTGTATATATCTTTTTTGTTTCCGAAAACAAAAATGTATAATTAAATTTCATACATGTTGCAATCTGGTTATTCATCATGTTTCATAAATAATATAGCATAAAAAATCCATACTACAGATTTCCTTTTTGTTTCAAAAACCGTTAATGATTTTCAAAATATGAATTGTCTTTTGAAACAAAACCAAATTAATTTTTGCTTTTCAAATCAAAAGCACAGTTCAAAAACATGTTTTTGTTTTTCTGCTGATGGAACAATTTCAATAACAAATGAAAGCAAAAAAACATTCACTTTGTAGAATATCCCTTAATCAGGTTCAATGCTTGTTACGTTTCTGCTCAGACTCATTAGTTGAAAAATGAGATTTAGGCCAAAATGATTCTATTTTGAAATCAGATATTTTAGCTTCTCAGAACGACTTTTAAGCCCCCCTCCCCCCACAAAAAACACACACAAAAAAAAATGTTCTAACAATTTTATAGATCCAAACTTAAAAATGATTCTTAGGATCATCAATTCAAACCCATTGACCCGGGGCTGAAGCCAATGACCCGGAGACCTGAACAGCTGAGCTGAGTGAGGTCTCTCAGGTGTTGGATGGTTTTGATTGTTTCACCGAATGAACCATCTGGTTGAACCGTTCTGGGTGGATTTTAAAACACTGTATATGACAGAAAGGGAATAAAGATACAGTGGAAGAAATTGCTGCTTACCAGTGATGAGATTGAAGTCACAGGGAACAATGGCTTCATCATGCCTGAATCCATGGCCGGGCCTCGCCGATGGAATCCGTGTCCCGTGCCCGCTGTAATGGAAGAACAGAACGTCCCCGGCCTCGGCTTGATCGATCATCCGGTTAAGAGCACTCCTGATGTTAGCACCCGTGGGCATGACTAATGAACTGGGTGCATCGGTCAGTAGCACGATGTCGCTCGGGTCAAACCCGAAACGGTTCACAAGCGCATCTCGCATGGCATGCACGTCGTTTATGCATCCATGCAACTCGTTTGGGGTGTTGGGATAGTTGCATCCAACCAGAGTAGCCAACCTCTTGTTCCCCATCTTCATTGACTTCATTCTCACAAAATATATGAAATCCCCAATTCCCCTTTTCATTTAATGTATAACCTCAAGAGGCTGAGTGCTTATATACACAGATTATACCACTTGTGAAATTTCAGATGTACCCATCACTCGGTGACCGTGACGTACAAGCAAGTTGGAGCTTTTCCAAAGAAAAGGGGAACTAAGAAAGGAAAGGGGTGCAACTTGAATTGGATTGAACTGGAAATTTGTTAAGTTTTTAAATGGGCCCAAATTCTAACCCGACTCCGATGTAGTTGAAATTCATGAAATCAAGTAATCACATTTGGAGTTAATTTATGTTAATAAAGGGTGCAAATGGATTTGATTTGATTCGATTTGTTTAAGTTAGAATTGGATATCCATTCAGTCACAATTGGATCAAGTTTGGATTTTGTTGATTAAATCTATTAGGATCAATCTAGTCTAATTATACATGTATATATAAATATACATATTTTTTATTATTAAAATTACTTAGAATTTAAATGGGATTTGAGATTTAGATGACCTATTTTTTTATATTTAACTTTGTAAATTTATGTTATACACATCATGACAAGCAGCAGATCCTGAGAGACCTGTTCACTTTACACTGTATTGGGCTTTGGGCCGAATCTATTGAAATTTTGACAAAAGTCAAACCCAAACCTGACTCATGAACATGTACAAATTATTTAACATCGGCCCGGGGTCGGGCCCATTCAAAATTTTGCAAATGATCAACCTGAATTCACTAAAGTTTCAGCCCTAAATTTTATACAAATCTACCAATATTCGAATCAAAGTTAGATTTGAATCGGATATCAGGATATGCGAATGAACAGGATTCGAGTCCATGCTTTACATGTCCATTAAACATCAAATCTTATTCAAATATCTCATTTTTTATTCAGATTGAATTTGGTTAAACCCCTATCTGAATTCAATATGATCCATCTCCAATCCTAGACTAGATGGTTCAAATGGGTTCCGGGTCTGTTTCCGTTTTTAAATTTTTTTCGTAATAATTGATATTTAGGATGCATATAATTTTTTTTTTGAAGATGGAAATAATAAATTAAAGAAAAAATCTATGATATTGAAAAGACATAATACGGGAAAATCTTTAACCAATCAAAATACCCCCATGAATTTTGATGAATATGGAATGCCCCCTGGTTGATTGGCTGTAAGTTTTTCTGGTATCATGGTCGAACCCTAAATTAAAGGATGATGAACTCCCTAAAATAATAATTTGCAAAAGGAATTATTAATTAAAGAAAAGAGATAAGGGCAATGAAGTAATTATCAGAGAAATTGAGGCCATCTATCTTAAGGGATTTTGTGCATCTTTTCCTTGTATGGGAGAAGAACACAATGCGTAGAAGCAAGAACAGCAACTACTGCAAATTTTCTCTATTTTGGTTGTTGTTGGTGGCTTCCCCATCGTTTGTTTTCCCTTGCAATGCACTATCAAAGGGAACGAAATTGCTTGAAGCAAACAAATGGAGCAAACCACCCAAGAGATAATATTTTGTTTACACAATTTCACTTCGGAGCAATTTTGGCCATGGGTGGATGGAATCATGGAGTTTGGATTCGCTGATCACAAAACGCTGGCCACGAGATGCTATATCTGTATATCGGAGTATTTTCCGATATTAATTTTCATTATTGTATTAAAAGATTAATATTTAAGTTAAAACTTAAATATTGAAATAAGATGAGTAAAAATATCTATAATAAGAGAAAAATAAATAATATAATAAGAAAATAATAAAAATAAAGTAATAAAATTTAATAATTAATAAAAAAACATTATTATAATTAATTATAAATAAAATTTTAATATTATAATTATAAAACTTTTCTCTCTCCATATGACGTTTTGGGACGCGTACATCACTACTTGTATTAATGTTGAAAATTGAAATGCTATTGTGTTTGCTGAGCGAACACTTCAGCAAACACTATAGCAAGAAGATGGGTCAAGATGACTCTAATGGATTGGATCATTACATAACCCAAAAAGTGATCAGCCCAATTTATTTAGTTACCGATTTGAACATGTCTTGATTGATCCAGTTTGGTCTGCCAAATCTCTTATATAAATTTGTAGAAAATATTTCTTGAAAATATATATTAGAAAAACTATTAATTTTACAATTAATTAACATGTTTTTGTTAAAATATTAATTTTGCTATTAATGAAATTTCAATAAAATATTTTTTGTTATATTTTAAAAATTTGTTTGTTAATTCTTTTTATAAATTATGTGAAAATTTCACTACTATTTTTCTAAAAATATTTTCTATCAACATGAATTGTTTACTCTGTCTTACAGCTCCATTGCAATGAAATTTTTTGAAGCATTGAGTGATAGATCAAGTGGATCAGGTTGATTCCTTAGATTTGCAAGTTTCCCAAAAAAAGAAGAAAGTAGAAGAAGAAATGAATCAAGGGCCTAAAAATAGCTATGCATCAAGGAAAGTTCATGAGTTGGGTTATTTGAATATCCAAAAAATTTCCAAACCGCTAGCTTTAATTACCAATCCATACAGAATTGGATCCATTTCGTTTGCTCTATATTCAACCTACATGGTGTTTGGAAGCGTGCATACTTTTTGGGACCGATTTTCAAGAAAAAATGTCCATGCTTTCAAGATCCGTTTTTCACAAAAAAAAATGCTTCTGCCACGTAGGCAGTGAGCAATACTATGCTGTTTGGTAAAGTGATTTTCATCACTGTTTTTCATATATGTGTTGACAGGTAAGCACCACATACAATACACATTAGTCAATCGTTGGGGAAATGTGCATGAGACACCAAATTTGGCATTTCATGCATTGGTAGGGTCCCGATTTTTGAAACATGCCCAATTTTTTAATAATCGGCTGAACCAAACAATGAAATACATGGACATTTGTTGAAACGCCTATGTAGATCTGACATGACACTGTTTTTTTGAAAAACGGCCATGGTTCCAAACATCCCCCTAGTTATGCAATTTCCAAAACAAAAAGAGTAGGGTTAGGTTATCCACCCAAAAGTCATCCACCCACTAACTTCAATTACTAGTTCATACTGAACTAGACCGATTTTGTAGAGGTGTAATGTGAGCCAGACCCACTTTTGCGAGTTGCCTACATTGTAGCAAGCTATGCCATGTCATCACGTATGCTTGGACAGGCTGTGCTTACCTGGCCCAGAACCCTTAAAAGGGGTAGGACCATAGGCCGTGTCTACCTGGCCTGATTTCTAGAGGTGTAATGTGGCCATGCTATGCTGAGCTTGGTTGGGCTACGAGCTTGATCCCTTTGTTGAGTTTTTTCTAATATTTTTCACTTTTTTTGTTAAGTAATAATGACAAATATTTTGAAAAAAAATAAAAAATTAACAAAAAATAAGCACTTAACAAAATAGAGTATAGACAACAAATTGGGAAAAGTTCCAAAAATCTTATTTTATTTGAATTTAATGCATACAATTGATCATATGTGATGTAATAAAATTAATTTGAAAAAAAATTACAATGGAGTTGGGATAAAATAATATAATAAATTTGAAAATAAAAATATATAGTGTCACTGAAAAAGAATCAGAAATAACTTTTAAATAAAATTGGAAAACAAAATTTGTAATAATTTTAAAAGTATTGCACAATTAATGAATATACAAAAAACATTGACTTCAATATTTTCTTCAACTTCAAATTCGACCTTCAACTTCAACTGCCATTAGTTGAATTGTCATGCCCTTCCTGATCTTGTAGTTTACTTTTACCATACAATTAATTATTTAAACATATACATATCTCGAAACTTTCATCATTTATGCAGCTTCTTTTATCATGTAACAAGTATTGGATAATTTTTTCATCTTCTTTCTATTAGGTAAAAATATCAAAATTATGTAATTTCTCAAAGGTGAGGAAATATGTTAAAGGATGGTCTAAGGTTCTAAATGCATTAGAGGTGCAAGCATCAAAGTGGACAACTATTTCTACGTCTACCAGGGGTGGGCCCATCATGGGCCAAAGAGAGGGTTAAACCATAGATTATGGACCAAGGTTTTAGAATGGGCAAAATGTATAAATGAAATGTCAAAAAGGGACAACTAGAACTATATGTCTTGACTAAAGGGATACAATACGAATAAAAGAAGGTCATGACTCCAAGACTTGGTTCCTAAGGGGTCTTAACTTTATGATGAGCTAAAGTAAGCAACGGGTTTAGAAGCACGAGATTGACATGGTTCCTTAACTTGGTTTATGTTGGCTTCAACTCTAAGAGGGACTGAGCTTGAAAGTGGGTGAGCATTTCCTCTTCAAGAAGACTAAGGGGCCTCTAGCTAGAGGAACTAAGGTAGAAAATGGGTAAGCATTCTAGTGGAGCCTATACAAGTTCTCGTATGTCCTAATATTTGTGATTCAATATATTATACATTTCAAGTAATAAGTTTTTAACTTCATCTTTTTTTTTATTCAAAGACCGATTTCTGTATTATCATAATAGGATTTAAGTAAAACATTTATACCATTTTTTTTTTAACCCTAGGATCTAATATTGCAACTAAGTAATATAAAAGAGAATATTTTTCCAATATTTTTAAATTTTAAACCGCTTCTATATTTTTGAAAGCATTCACTAATTACAAATAATTGATTAATTAAAATACAAGATTTTGGGTAATAAACACCAAAAAACACATTAGTTGCATCATAAAATAGTAGGCGAAATAATATTTAAAGCTTTTTGTACACATAAATTTAAAATATGACATATACATCTAATATGAAATAATTTTTCATTTAAAATGGCTTTAATTGAGATTTTAAAATATTTATAGCTGAATCATTATTAGTAGCTTTATTGAAACTAATAGAAAGAACTTTATTTTCAATACTATAAATATTTAAAGTATTTAAAATACTTGTAACAATTGTTGGACCATTATGTGGCCATTCAAGTCTTGTAAAACTTATTATTATTTTTTTTTGTAAAAGCCTTGATTTGTCAATAAAATGACCCATGCCA